GCTATAGGGAAAGGTCTGTCCTTGTTGTAAGTGTTATCCAGCATTTTTTCTTGGTGCCCATTGGTTCTCCAGCCTCACCTTAAAAGAAAACAAGAATTTTGTTTTGCAGAGTAATCTGCTACCTAAACAAGCCTACTCAGTGCACAGATCATGACATAACACCTTGAGAAGTACAGGCGGATGGTATTAACTGCTATGCCTGTGTATCAACTGCTGTGCCTGTGAAGGAAATTCACACCCGGCTTCAGGAGAGTGACCCTGAGCTCATGATCTACATAACTCAGGACTTAACACCTTGAGAAGTACAGGCGGATGGTATTAACTACTAAGCCTGTGTATCAACAGTTGGGTAGAACCTTCTGTGTTGACGTACTCCCATTGTATGGTAGGGAAGATGGAGACCTACCTGGGCATGTGGCCACCCGCAGTGTGTATAATGAGTTGGGCCCGTGGTCTGAGGTAAAGAAAGTAGGTAACCTGTTTCCTTCTGTTCCTGCAGCTTCCAGAAGAGAAAGTAGCCCCTCCAGGAGAGTTGAAGTGCTTTGACACTTAGCCTAAAACGCTGCTTAATCTCTTGAGGGCCAGGAGTTGAGTGGTAATTATTTACTTACTGATGTATTTGTATCCCGCTTCCCTCCGTGAAGACTGAAGTGGTAAATTTGTAAGGAAAAGATAGATGTAATAGAAACTCTAATATACTTTCTGTCTCAAAGGCCAGGACTCTAATCATGTATCAGATTTTATTTAAAATCACAGTGGGTCACATGTTTTTCTTTCAGTCAATTAATTAGAAACATTTCCAGTCTGCTCCACCTGGGAATTCAGGTTGCACTAGGGCTGTGCTATCTGATACAGTGGCCACAAGCCAAGTGTGCCAATTCAAATGTGAATTAATTAAAATCAAATAAAATGTACAAGTCAGCTTCTCAGTCACACTGGCCACATTTCAAGGACTTAATAAGCACCTATGTCCACTGTATTGGACAAGAGACCCATGGAGAAAATGTCCATCATCACAGAACGTTGACTGGACAGTGCCGCCCTGGAGAATACCCTTCTGTTATCATATTTAGTCACGCAGTTCCTTTGCCCTCTACCCTCCCTCGCTCCCCTTCCTCTTTGGGAAGGAAATCCACACCCGGCTTCAGGAGAGTGACCCTGAACTCATGATCTACACTATCATCACGGAGACACCTGTGACCTGTATGACACAGTAGAGAGAAAGGCTTTTTAGGAATGAGTTTCACTGATATGTGATGAAACTCAGAATTAATATTAGAAGAAAAAACAGGAAACAAAACTCTGTGTGTGTGTGTGTGTGTGTGTGGCCATTTCTGAATCGTGGAAATAAAGATAATTTTTCCTTTCTTTGTTTATACTCATATACATTTTCTAGTTGGTATGATTAGCTTCAAACATTTGTATAATTAGAAAAACAAGTTTGTTTTTAGAAGGGAAAACAAAAAGACTTCCCAAAACTGAGAGGAGAAAGAATGATTCTCCTTGACCTTTAGGAGCTGTAGTTGAGGTCGAATGACGTTTATCTGCAAATGCCTCCCCTCTTCCTTTTTTGGAGAGAAAATAACTTTTGAAGTGGAGGGGCGATTTTGCAACCAGTATGATAACTAACATTTCTTGCCAATGTACGGATATGTTCTTACACTGATTGTGAATGTATGTGTCCCCACTCTGACTGCACTATCTGTCCTCCAAGTCCAGGGTGTGTCCTCTGTTTCTTTGGTCTCCTGAGTGGCACCCTAATCTGCACTTGATAACTGCTGTTGACTCCGGACTGGCAGATTGGCTGACCTTGCCGTCACTCTTAGGTTTTATGCCCACAGAATGTGTTAACATCTTGCCTCATTTTGCTTTGGGTCCGAGAAGCAGCGTTCTTTCCAAATTTGCTACATGAAATCCAGTGGCTGGAATACAGGAGCCATTCATCAGAAAATGAGTTAGGCTGTCTCTGACTCTGTGTGTGTGGCAAGACCCTAATGGAATTTTCTTTTTTAATTTTGTTAGTTTAATGGAAATAGCTCTGGGAAGAGAATATGTTAAAACTCTTTGATTCAAGTGGCCACAACCATCCACACCAATGTATTTGGCTCCGCTAGTAACTGGCTACTTGGACGGAGGGATTTTATAAAGAGGATTTTCTTTTCTTGAGTTGGCTGTTAAAGTGATAAAACATGCTTGCGGGGCCATTCTGGTTTTGACAGTTTCTTGTGTCAGCCAAGACACCCACAGGCAGGAATTATAGTCTCCTCTGCCCTCAGTGCTCAGATCCAGACTGGGAGATGGAGCCCAGAATGTTAGATTTAATATTTAACTTCACTGGGTATATTTTACCACATCACAAACCTCTTATACACATCTACCTCACAACACTTGAGTATGGGTTGAAGCCATGTGACATTTCTGTGCTCTCTGTCAGAAACAGGAGAGAAGATAGGAAAGGGAGGATGAATTAGTTTTCACAAAAAGCCAGTGAAAGTCTCTGTCATTGTCCCTGATGATGAATGTCCCTATTTGTGGAGGTGTGGGACTTTAGTGAAAAATGTCTTCTTGGAAGGGTGATATTATACTAAGGAGTGCTATCAAGGAATTTGTGGGTGACAAATAGGAGCAGAGCTGGCATAGGGGAATAGATAGCAGACATTGTCTACTTTGCTCAGTGAGGAGACATTACATTCCAACAGACCAGCCATGATAGTTCATGGTAATGTTTCCTCCTCATAGCTATCCCTGTCTCCCTATGCCTGACCACTAGGTACCAGAGTCAAGATCAGTGCAAGAAACTATCCAACTGCACAGCTCCCCATCCCAAGTTCCCTGAGACCACACAAACATGCTGCTGTTTAGAGCCCCCACTGGAGTGAATGGAGAAATCAGAAATTAGTGCAGAATCTAGTAACCATGGGTAAGAGGTATACAACCCAGGTCTCCAGTGGGCCAAGAATCTTCTAGAAGATTCCACCTGGGAACCGAGGGTAGGCCACTTGCCTGCTACTGTGTTCTTTCTGAAATTTGGCTACTGGTGAAGGACTTATTTTCTTTTCAAAAATCTCACTTCCTTCAATACACTTTATATTTGAGAACTGTATTGTCATTGTACAATAAGTACTGTTTTTATTTTCCTTTATTTAGCAGACACATATATATTATGTAAATTGTACAGAGTATTATGATCTTTTGAGAATTATAACACACTTAATAACATGCTGTATTATTAAAGTCTATTATATAATATTTATAATTTAATTATACTAGTATATTATACAACTATACAATATGTAAATAGTAACTCACTCTCCAAAACTCAGAGATTGAGGTTGCTCCTATTAAACTCATTTTACAAATTAGAAAATGGAGACACTCAGAAGCTAAGTAATGTGTGAGCCCTACATAGCTGTTAAGTAATTGAGCTAAGATTTGAACCCAGCACATCTGGCTTGCTCTTCACCACTATTAAAACCCAGAAAAATAGGAAGACAAAAAATAAATACCCAAAGACAACTACATACATGGGACCTTGCCATCATTATCCAATACAAAGACTCACATCACTGAGCCTTGTCTGTATATTCATTTTGCATCTTGCCTTTTTTTAAAACTAAACTTAACAACTGTCTTTCCATGTTGTTAAAAACTCCTTGTAAGTGTTTCAATGGCTAGCTATTTCATATTTCCATCATGTAAATGAGCCCCTATTTGCTTACCCATCCTCTTTCACTGGCCATTTCAGCTCTTCAGTTTTCTGTTATGCTCACGAGCACTGTGATGACAATCTCAGCGCAGAATTTCTTATGTTCTGCAGAACACAAGATCTCCGTTTAGTATTTGTGGAAGGAATCCTGGGGCACTTAATTCCTCATTTTTTTTCCATCAAAAATGGAATAGTGATATCAGCCATAAGTGACATTTATAAAGCACTTTAAAACATTTTAGATGGACTTCCTTATGCAATGACTCATTTAATCTTCACAATAGCCCTGTGAAGTAGATAATGAGATTCACATTTTACAGTTGAGGAAACAGACACAATGCTCTATGGAGTTAGAAAGCAGCAGAGCCACAACTCTGTCTTCAGTAAAGCATAGATTATCATTTTATTATTATATTTTTAAAAGCACATTATACTCTAAGAAAATAATCCACTGGCTTAACTTTATCAGGAGGCAAGGAGAAAGAAGGAAAAGGTAAGGCGTCTTGAAAGGCTTGTGGATCATAGAAAAGAATGACATAGAACCCCAAGGAAAACTCCACTGAATGAGAAGAAAATTGAAAGGGATAGTTGAAATAAAATTACCAAAAGATCAATGCTTATTTTCAACTATTTGTAAATCTTTATCCATATTTCTTTATTATATTATTCACTTCCAGTTTTCCCACTTACTGCAAAGAACAATAATAATCATTAAATAAATTAGAGCACATAGTGTTCCATCCAACTGGAATACTATGTACCTATTCAAAATAAGGAGGACCATATGCATATATATGAATTTGTTTGTTGGAAAGACAGATGGATGCATTTTTTTTTTCCATGGACCTTGTTCAAGGTTAAGCATTCTGCATTCTTCATATTTTCACCAAGTGAGAAAACAAAAATAAAATATAGGATAGAGGAAGTGAAGGAAGAGGCATTGAAAACCTGGTAGGAGGGACTGGGGTAGGAATATCCCCTGAAGGTCAGGCCTTCTGTGTCTGAGAATCTCCAGAGAGTTTAAGGAAGATAAGAAGCTATCTCAGTTCAGGTAACAAAGCACAAGATGAAAATACTATGAGCTAACAAGCCATGAACCCCTTCCTTCTAAGGTAGAAGGGCCTCAGCCCAAATGGTGCATTTCAAATGCTTGCATGGAAGATGTTACAGGCGGCTATAAGACTTAATTACACTTTGTCACCTGAAGCCAGGCTGGGCGTGGCTCTAGCTGGACTAGAATGGCCTGTGGGACTGTGGGACCCTAAAGGAGCTCAGTGCCATGCTTGCCTTTCAGGATTTTATGGACAGCTGCAGACGTTCTGCCCCCCGCATTACCCCGACTCCCAGAGAACTGTGCCGCCTGGCAGCTCCTGCAGTGTGGTGCCTTCCTTTGAGGACTGCCTGGTCCCCACATCCATGGGCCAGGCGGGTTTTGATGTTTTCCACAGAGCCTTCTCGACTCATTCGGGCATTGCAGGTGTGTTGAGTGTCTGGGACTTAGGCACTGGGGCCAACCGGCAGGACAGAGCAGGTGGGTTTCCCCTGACGGGCCCGGACCAAACCCACCGCATGACCCCATCAAGTCCTGTTGAACTATCCCTGAACTGTCTCTTTTCTACATCTTCCTCTTCAGCCCTCTCCAGCCCCACTTCCACCCCAGTGCAGGAACCATCAGATTTCTCCCATCCTGTGGCATCAGCTTTCTATACATCTCCCTGGATCTGTCCCTCACCTTCATCATTCTGCCCTCCAAAACCAAAGGATAAAATACACCACTTTCCTGCTCAAATCCCCGAAATAGTTTCCAGTACAGCATTCAAAGCCCCCATGGCGGCCCCATCAAGCTCTCCAGACCTGCCCATTACATTTTTCCCCAAGATGCTCTCCACCTGAGAGTTGCCAGCACTTTGAACCCTGTATGTCTCCTTTTCTCTCTCTTTGCTGCTTCTTTTTTCTGGAATGTTCTTTCCCTCTCTGTCTGTGAAAATTCCATTCTCTTTTCTGACTCAATTTTGATGTCACTGCCTCCTTGAGACCACCTCCCCCTTCCCTAGAACACTTTTCTATACTCCTGTATTTTGTCCCAATTCATGTTTGAGAAGCAGCCTACAAGCCAGTGTCCTCCCATAGTAAGGTCCCTGAGGACAGAGACCCCCTGGAAGGCCCAGACCAGCGTGGGTGCCTCGTTGGCCCAGGGGAGCAGGGGACCTGCTCACTGCGCTGCTCAGTGGTGAGTGCGGTGCAGCAGCTACTGACTGCCTGTATTCTTTCTCTTCCAGTGTACGATTTGCCTTCCAGTTCCTCAAGCCTCTTTGGGGAGTCTGTCCGCAGTGGTCCTGAAGACGCCGCATTCTTGCAGCTCAGCGCCATGGACCGCTGTCCCAGCCAGCTCTCCTCTGTCCACACAGAAGGCTAGAAGCTCCCTTGGCCTCTACTGCATATCTGACCATCTTGTTGCTTGCCGCCTTCTGTTTTCGTCCTCTCGCAGACTGCGCAGGGAAGGATGGCAGCCCAGTCAGCACAACCTGCAGAGTCACTGCCGGGTCTTCGGTGGGCAGGACTGGATGGTCAGAGCTGGCTTTGCAGGAAGGTTCACAGTTGCTCCTTTTTCTCTCTGGGTTTGCTGGACCAGGTGACCAGCAGGACTGTCTTCTCAAAGGGAATTTAGAGTCTTCTTACTCTTCTGGATACCTGTTACTTCCTGGCTGTCAATCCTCAAAGGACACCAATGAAAGGATGTGCATTTGAAAATGCAGTTTGGGGATGACCTTGGCCAAATACTCCAAATAGGGAAGGACAACCCCGTTGCCTGAGGCACAATAGCTGCCTCACCCAGTGCTCTGCCTCGAAGCTGATGCCAAGCCGGGCACATGAGGGAAATCCGTGTCCAAAGCATAGTATGGTCTCAACTCCTGGAAACTCCCCTTTGCCTTTCCTCTTAGCCACATGCTAACCAGCTGCTGCTTAATGTTTCTCCAACAGCCGAGTAAGGTTTTATACTTTAGCAACCTATCTTTGTTTTTAAAGACTTGTGATATATCTACTTTAAAAGGAAAAAATATTTAGAGGTCTGTTCTTTTGATGGAATTTATTATTTTAATCACCTCAGTTACATACATTTTGCACAGCTGTAGCTCTGCCTGGCCCCACCCTGGAATGTGGGTTTTGCAGTTAGCAAAGGCCACCTGAGGGAGACAGGGTGGGCACAGCCCTTGTGGCCAGTGCTATATAGCAGGTTGACTGTTCCGCAGCTCCTCCTGGAAGACCTTGTTCAAAGAAAAAGGTTGTTTGTCTGGTTGGCCCGTTGCCTCCACCTGTGCTCCGCTCAGAGCAATGCCAGAAGGTATGAGGACAGGGACACACAGCCATGTGCCTGGGTCCTCTTGGATAACCAAACAAGGGGTGCCTGATACTCGGTGACTGTGCCTGGTGTCCGCTCCTTCAGGCTCTCCATTCATCTGTCTCTCCCTGTCCTTCTGCCCACCCTCTCTTTGCAACCTTCTTGCCCTCTCCTTGATTATGGGTCCGACTTGCCCTGCTATTATCTGACCATCGACTCTTGGGAAGGTAGGCAGAAGATGGCAATCCTTTTTCTGAATGTCTGGTTTGAAAACCTAGAATTTTCATGGGGCACTTAGCTATTTAATATCAACCTTAAATAGAAAATTGCTTTCCTACGACACCTTTACAAAGCTATTGAAAAGTTCCCAGGTCTTAGGGCATAGGCTAGAAAAATTGGCCAACCCCAAAGACCTGGTAAATTGTGACATTCTGGTACTGAATGACATTTCACAGTTTCTTTTGTCTTTCTAAAAATGTTTTCTGAACAAAAGTGAAACATGCTGTTTGTTACACTGACATCAGTATGCTCTTCAACAAGGCAATGAAACGGCTTGGTGTCAGCCTTGGGATCCCGTGGCAGTTCACATCCGGACAGATGAGTCCTTCCTGTCTGGTTCCACCTGATTCGGGAGTTCATTCCAACATGCAGTCAAATGAGGGGAGGAAAGAGCCAAGTGTGAATTTCATTCTCACTGTGCACTTGGTCAATCCTGATTCTCTGACTAGTGGGCTGTGTTCTAAGAAAAGCTATCGTGCAGACATCGAAGTCTACAAAAGAGATGAGTAGTCCGCTCTCCAAAAGGATGTGCACCAGGCTTCCTTTATAAATGAGCTCTCAGGCTGCACGTAAAATACCATCCTTCTCCCAGACTCTGTGTCAGTTGGCCTAAGCAAGGACACACGCATACACAACACTGGCTTTGTAGGTCACATCCCTCATACTCATACATTCTCTATCACACTCTAAACTAAAAGGAAAACTCGGTATCTTCAGAGAGATCATTTATCCGTTCTTCAATATGGAAACCTTTATGAAGAATCCAAAATACATATTTGTGCATTGAAAAAAAAAAAGACAAAAAGACAAGGTTGTTATTGCGGTGGATGTTGTCAGCCCTACCCTTTAAATTAGTAAGGGGGAAGGAGGGCAAAACAAGCAGCTGGCCCTCAGACACCACAGAGCTCACCTCCTCCTTTGGTTGGGAGGAGATTCTTGGGAGCCAGGCTTTGATCTTACTGTGGCATCTCACAGGGACCCTGCCCTTTCCTGCCTCACCTGGGCTAGGAGGTTCAGGGAAGGGCCAGGCAGCAGACCTCCATCCGCGGCAGGAACTCAGAGGCCCAGGCCCTGGGGGACATTTATGTTGTCAGAGGGGCTTGCGGGAAGCAGGGCTCAGAGCAGCCCCTCCCCTGCATGCCCCTCGTGTTTACTGATGGCTGAGGGTTTCAGATCAGGGCCTCAGGACATGAGGCATTCAGCTTCCTTTCAAACTACTACACACATTATTTCTTACATTCCAGAATCTCTCCTGATCCTAAAATTTGTCCCTTGCTTGCTTTCAAAGCATTGCGGAAGATTTGTATGTGCTTTCATCATTACTTTTGTAGCAGTGTAAGTGGAAACTATAAAAAAATGATTCCCTTCCATTTCCTGGCCTTTTTAGTCTTGATATGTAACCATTTTCATAAACATCTGAACAGAGAGTGTCATTCTTCTTTTTATAAAAAGAAAACTAGTGCTTGTGAAAACACACACAGCCCGGAGCCAATTATCTTATTACGTAAAAAAAAAAAAAAAAAGAAAGAAAAATCAGTATGCCTAGAGACATTTAATTTGCTGCATTGTCTTAATTCCCTAAAGGGACTGCATCAAAACGTCAGTTGTAATTTAGCCTCTGATCAGCTGTTAAATATTATTTAAATATTGGCTGGTCCTGTGGGATAGCTCCCTTTACACATGTCTCCCCAAAATTACAGAAATGATTATAAAATGGAAAAAAAAAAAAAAGCCTTCAGTAGATCCCAGCATAGTTTCCACTGATAACAGAGTGTTGGTTTTGCTCAGTTGTTTTTAAATTACCAGCTGTCAAGCACACTAGGACACTAATACCAGTTCTGAACAGGGATAAATTCAAATCCCTCCCACATCTGAGAACCTTGACTTTCCAGTTGCCTTGAAGTATTGGAAATACTGACTGTAAACGTTCAGTTTAATTATTTGGTATTTTATTGGACTGTTTTGACCACGTCATTTTATAGCAGCATTTTTTAATGGCACTTTTTGTTGGTGATGTGGAATTTCTGCGGTTACTTTTTTTTTTTTTTGCCATGGATAAAGCAAAAAAAAAAGGAAAAAAGCACTCATTGGAGAAAAGGTGAGTGTAAAAAAGAAGAGATTTATTTTGTACAGACAGCAAAGCATCCTGTGTAATGTTGCTGACATAAAGCACTTTGGGGGGGAAAAGTGGAAATCTGTTTTCCATAAATCACACAGACTCTTGTACATAGTTATATACACTCACGTAGAGAAATGAACTGCATATATCATCCTGGATATGGGGCCAATTTTACTCTAGAGGCACATCTGGTGCTTATTGTCATAAATCTTTTAAAGAATTAGGTACACTTTTTTCTATTAATATGTATAGTTTTGTGATTTGTCACAGTTATGTTTCATATAATCATAAGTTATTTTGTCTTGTTTCATGAAGTCCTTTTTTTATGTCAAAAGTAAAATGAAGGGATTGTGCACTTGGTACAGAATAAAACTGGAAATAGAGGACACGCCCTCCTGCCTGAAATCCTCCTTCAGCATGTCGCTTTAAAACACAATGGCAACAACCAACCGTTGTTTGTTTGTTTGTTTTATTTTCTTTTGTTTTGCCATCAGTATTGGGGATGGTAATTATAATTAAAAGCAGATGGGGGGAGGGAATGTCCAAGGCCAGCTTTAAAATGCCGCATTGCTTTGGGCCAGAGCTGCAGCCTGGATTTAATTATAGATATGAGGACGAAATGGCAGTAAAATGAATGTCTCCCTGAATCCTTTACATGTTGGGAGTGTCCATAAATAAAACATGAAGTTTTATTTCATCAGATTTAATTAAAGCTTTTATACATGTTTTATTGGTTATTCTATTAATCCGCCTCGCAAACTGGATAAATGTGTGCTAGGGTTTGGGGTTTATTTGTGCCTTTTCAATGCAGCGCTACATCATTCTTCAGAAATGCCTCCAGCGCTTGGTGCTCCAGGTGCTGGGGTTTCAACAAGCTGGCGATTGGAGGAGGGGATTCTTTTTGACCCTCTTTTCCTACAACCCTGCAGGAGAAGACACAACCAGCTTCCTGTGAGCGCATTCCCCGAAGTTTGCAGCCCTCTGATTACCCAGAGAAAGTGGCAGTTACCATTTCCCTGTTTCTCCCATCCTGTCCACTGTAGAGGCTTTAGAGCTTCCTGATCCATTGGCTGTAACGAGCTTTCTTCCTTAGCTCCCATCAGTAGCTGGGACAGGGTGGTCAGAATGTTCTGATAGGTGGTGGTCTGCTAGCAAAGCACATGAATCAAAGAGAGGTCACATCTCAAGAATCATTCTTGAAAAGGTGACTGTTTTCTTCCTACAGTTTTAAGACTGGAGAATTTATTCCAAGGGAAGATGGCAGAAGGGACCGTGGTCCCACGTACCTTGTCTGGCTCCTCAGGGTCAGAGAGTAGATGAAATTTGGTTCTGGGCTGGGGAGGTGGAGACAGTGCTGACTGAAACGGCACAAAGAACTCTTCGGCTTCCTAAAAGGAGAGCGCTGGTAAGGATCCGATTTGTCTCAACCTCTTTGGAGAACAGTTTGGCATTAAGTGGTAGAGGGGAAGGTCCCCACACCCGACAACCCATGATTTCCACTTCTTTCCAGAGACTCTTTCATCAGTGACAATTCAGATACAAGATGTTCGTAGCAATGTTACTCGCAATAGCCCAAACTGGAAATGACCCAACTCTCCATCAGTAATAAAATGAATAAATGAATCTTGCCCAAGTAACATAGTAAAATGCCATCAAAGTGACAGCAAAGGAAATGACAGAACCACAGCCACACACAACTGAGAGCTGAAACTCACACACCATGTGAGAGAAACAAATAGACATAAACGCAAATGTACAGTGTTAATCTGTATGTGTAGTTCAAACATAAGCAAAATGCAATTACAGCGTTTAGATGGTTTAAAGTTTAAAGAGCAGAAAGGAAGACATTATCCCAAAGACCCGGATCCTGATCTCCTCCAGGGAGAGAGGGCACACGGGGGCTTCTAGAGTGCAGATGGACAATGCTTTTTTTTTTTTTTGACTCAAGTGTTAGGTTATACAGGTTTAATTTATAATTATTTAAATGTGATTATATGTTTTATAGATTTTATTTCAGACAACAATATTGGCCCTGCTGGGGGGGGTCTATGAACATTTTCTGCAAAGGTCCAGATAGGACCTTTTTTTGGCTTTGAGAGCTATAAGGTCTCTGCCTCAAGTACTCTGGCACTGTAGCTAAAATGTGGCTGAACAAATGGATATGGCTGTGTTCCAATAAAACTTTATTTATGGACACAACTTTGAATTTCATCTAATTTTCAGATGTCATATTCTTTTGATTTTTTTCAACTCTATAAAAAGGTTTT